GCCGGCAGGTCCAGCAAGGCCGGCAGGGCCAGCAGGGCCGGTGGGGCTGGCAGCGCCGGCAGGGCCGGCATAGGGCTGGCAGGCACGGCAGAGCCGGCAAGGCCGGCAGGTTTGGCAGAGCCGGCAGGGCAGGGCCGGCAGGGCCGGCAGGCCCGGTCGGTCGGGCGAGACATTAAACAATAATGCGTCAAATTGGCACGCGAAAACCCTGGCGGGTGGGCCCCGTGTGTCGGGCGGACTCCAGCGGGCGAATCCGCTCGGGCTGGCGGGAGATAAAAAAAAGATGCGTTGTCGAATTGGCACGCGGAACCGATGACGGGCGGGTCGAATCGTGCGATTGGCAAGCTAGACCCCTAGCGGGCGAGACTGGTCGGGTGGGCGGACCCAGCGGGCGAGATGGGCCGGGCGGGCTGGGCATGAAATTATGATGCGGCATCGAGCTGGCGCGCGAAAGCCCCAACGGGCGAGCCAGGTTGGTCGTTGACGGACGGTTCAGGTCGGGCGGGCGGGACATTAAAGTATGATGAATCATCGAGATGGCACGCGAGAGCCCCATCGGGCGGGCCGGGCTGGGCGGAATAGACATTCAACAATGATGCATGATCGAGTTGACAAGCGGGCCAGGCGGACCCTGACGGGCGGGTCGGGTCAAGCGGGCGGGACGTCGAAATGTCACGCGAGAGCCCTATCGGGCAGGTCGGGTCGGGCGGGCGGACCCTCGTCGGCGGTTCGTTCCATCATCGAATTGGAACGCGCGGGCCCGGCAGGCAGGGCCGACAAGGTCGGCAGGGCCGGCTGGTGGGACCCGTGGCACCAGTAGGGCTGGTAGGATCCGGCAGGGGCGCCAGGGCCGGTAGGGCCGTTACGGCCGATAGGGCCAATAGGGCTGGCGGGGGGCGAACGCGGCCGGTAGGACCGATAGGGCCGGCAGGGCCAACATGGCCAGTAAGGTCGGGTCGGGCGGGCGGACATTCAAGCACGGTGCGTCTTCGAGTTGGCACGCGGAAGCGCTGACGTGCGGGCCGGGTCGAGCGGGCGGGGCATTAAGATATGATGCGTCGTTGTTAACGGACGAGGCGGGTCAGGCCGGCGGGACATCAAATCATTATGCATCATCGAGTTGGCGCGCGAAGGCCCCAACGCGCGGGCCCAATCGGGCGGGCGCGACAGTACACAATGATGCATCATCGAGCTGGCACGCGAAAGCCTTGGCGGGCGGGCCCGGTTGGGCGGCGGACCTGAACGGGCGGGCCCAGTCGGGCGGGCGGGGCATTAAAACAAGATGCGTCATCGAGTTGGCACGCGGAAGCGATGGCGGGCGGGTCGAGTCGGGCGGGAGGGACATTAAAGTAGGCTGCGTCATCGACTTGGCACGCTAGGCCCCTAGCGGGCGGGGCGGGGCTGGTCGGTCGGGCGGGCGGACCCAGCGGGCGAGTCGGGCCAGGCGGGCTGGGCATTAAATTGCGAAGCGGCATCGAGTGGGCGCGCGCAAGCCCTAACGGGCGAGCTAGACTGGGCGGGCGGGCCCGAACGGACGGGACGGGTCGGGCGGGCGGGACATTAAAGTACGATGCGCCATCGAGATGGCACGCGAGGGCCCTATATAATAAGTATGATGCATACTTGTGCTTGCGAATCTGGTGGAACAGGCGAACCCTAACGGACGAATCGGGTCGGGCTGGCGGGACATCAAATCATGATGCATCATCGAATTTGCGCGCGAAGGCCCCGACGTGCGGGGCCGGTCGGGCGGGCGGGACATTAAACAATGATGCATCATCGAGTTGGCACGCGAAATCCCTGGCGGGTGGGTCCAATTGGTCGGGCGGACCTGAACGGGCGGGCCCAGTCGGGCGGGCAGAGCATTAAAGCATGATGCGTCATCGAGAAGGCACCCGGAAGCGATGGCGGGCGGGTCGAGTCGGGCGGGCGGGGCATTCAAGTATGATGCATCATCGAATTGGCATGCTAGATACCTAGCTGGCGGGACTGGCCGGGCGGGCGGACCCAACGGTCGAGTCGGGCTAGGCGGGCTGGACATTAAATGAAGCGGCATCGATTGGGCGCGCGCAAGCCCTAACGGGCGAGCTCGATTGGGCGGGCGGGCCCTAACGGACGGGTCGGGTAAACTATGATGCATCATCGAGATGGCACGCGCGGGCCCTAAATTATGATGCAGTGTGCTTGCGAATCTGGTGGAACAGGCGAACCCTAACGGACGAGTCGGGTCGGGCTGGTGGGACATCAAATCACAATGCATCATCGAGTTGGCGCGCAAAGGCCCCGACGTGCGGGTCCGGTCGGGCGCGCGGGACGTTAAACAGTGATGCATCATCGAATTGGCACGCGAAATCCCTGGCGGGTGGGTCCAATTGGTCGGGCGGACCTGAACGGGCGGGCCCAGTCGGGCGGGCAGAGCATTAAAGCATGATGCGTCATCGAGTTGGCACGCGGAAGCGATGGCGGGCGGGTCGAGTCGGGCGGGCGGGACATTAAAGTATGATGCATCATCGAATTGGCACGCTAGACCACTAGCGGGCGGGAATGGCCGGGTGGGCGGACCCAACGGGCGAGTCGGGCCAGGCGGGCTGGGCATTAAATTCTGATGCGGCATCGATTGGGCGCGCGTAAGCCCTAACGGGCTAGCCAGGTTGGGCGGGCGGGCCCGAACGAACGGGTCGGGTCGGGCGGGCGGGGCATCAAAGCGCGATGCATCATCGAGATGGCACGCGAGAACCCTATAAGTATGACGCATAATTGTGCTTGCGAATTTGTGGAACAGGCGAATTCTAACGGACGGGTCGGGTCGGGCTGGCGGGGCATCAAATCACAATGCATCATCGAGTTGGCGAATGAAAGCCCCGACGTGCGGATCAGGTCGGGCGCGCGGGACGTTAAACAAAGATGCATCATCGCATTGGCACTCGAAAAACTCGGCGGGCGGGCCCGGCTGGTCGGGCGGACCTGAACGGACGGGCCCAGTCGGGCGGGCAGGGCATTAAAACATGATGCGTCATCGAGATGGCACGCGGAAGCGATGACGGGCGGGTCAAGTCGGGCGGGCGGGACATTAAAGTATGATACATCATCGAATTGGCACGCTAGACCACTAGCGGGCGGGACTGATCGGGTGGGCGGACCCAACGGGCGAGTCGGGCTGGACGGGCCGGGCATTAAATTGCAAAGCGGCATCGCGGGCGCGCGAAAACCCTAGCGGGCGAGCCAGGTTGGGCGGGCAGACCCTAACAGACGGGTCGGGTCGGGCTGGCGAGACATTAAAGTATGATGCGTCGTCGAGATAGCAAGCGAAAGCCCCCAAATTATGATGCATCATTGTGCTTGCGAATCTGGTGGAACAGGCGAACCCTAACGGACGAATCGGGTCGGGCTGGCGAGGCATCAAACCATGATGCGTCATCGAATTGGCGCGCGAAGGCCCCGACGTGCGGATCCGGTCGGGCGGGCGGGACATTAAACAAGGATACGTCATCGAGTTGACACGCAAAAACCTTGGCGGGCGGGCCTGGTTGGTCGGGCGGACCTGAACGAGCGGGACCAGTCGGGCGGGCAGGGCATTAAAGCATGATGCGTCATCGAGATGGCGCCGGGAAGCGATGGCGGGCGGGTCGAGTCGGGCGGGCGGGGCATTCAAATATGATGCATCATCGAACTGGCGCGCTAGACCCCTAGCGGGCGGGGCTGGTCGGGCGGGCGGACCCAGCGGGCGAGTCGGGCCGGGCGGGATGGCCATTTAATTACGATGAGGACTGCACAACCCACCCCCACCCCCACCCAGGGCACCCACCTCCGACCTGGTGGTCCAGGGTGCCTCGGGTGGGGGTGGGGGTGGGTTGTAAGAGCCGCGGGGCCCAGAAACACACCCTCACCCCCACCCAGGGCACCCTGGATCACCAGGTCGGAGGTGGGTGCCCTGGGTGGGGGTGGGGGTGGGTTGTGCTGTCCTCATACGAAGCGGCATCGCACAGGCGCGCGAAAGCCCTAACGGGCAAGCCAAGTTGGGCGTGCGGGCCCGAACGAACGGGTCGGGCCGGGCGGGCCATTAAAGCGTGATGCATCATCGAGATTGCACGCGAGAGCCCCATCGGGCGGGTCGGGTTGGGCGGAAGGGACATTCACAGATCATGCATCACCGAGTTGACACGCGGCCCTGGCGGACTCTAACGGGCGAGTCGGGTCGGGCGGGCGGGGCAGTAAAAGTATGATGCGCCATCGAGTTGGCACGCGAGAGCCCTAAACGCGGGTTCGGTGGTTCGCGCCAGATGGGCGGGTCTCTCGAACATGACGCATCGCCGAGTCGGAACGCGCGGGCCCGGCAGCCCACGCGCCAACCCGCGGAAATCGACGCGGCGGCGCCCCCCGCAAGCTGGAACTGCTCGGCGAGGGCGCGAGCGGCGTCTGGGTGGGCCCCAGGGCGCCGCCCAAGCGCCAACTCGCAGAAATCGGCGCGGGCGCGCCCCCCGCTCGCTGGGACTTCCCCCGCGGGAGCGCGATCGGCGCCTGGGTGGGCCCCGCGGGCCCGCCCACACGCCAGCCCGCAGCAATCGACTGCGGGGCGCCCCCGCCCCTGCCCCCGCTGGAGCGCGATCGGCGTTTGGACGGGCCCCGGGGGCCCATCCAAGCGCCAACTCGCAGGAAGAGATGCGGGGCGCCCCCTGATCGATGGAATCCCCTCGCAGGAGCGCGAGCGGGAACTGGCCATCGATTTCTGGAGTGGACGCGGCAGCGGCTCTCGCTCGCTCGGGCCCCCTCGCAGAACGCAGGGGGCGGTTGGCCAGGGGCGCCACGGCGAGGCCCTTGCTGCAAATTTCTAAGCAAAATCTCGGCGGGCAACCGAAGGAGCCACCGAATCCCGCGCCAACTGGCGCGAGGGCGACTGTTCACATCATGTTTGTCTTGGCGAAGCGGCGAGCTCTAGGCCGAACTTGGGCGCGCCCCGGCGCGCGCTGAGACGCGGGCGCAGGCGCGCCCAAACAGTGCGTCTACTTCCTCTTGCGCGGCGGCTTCCTCGCAAATTTCTCGGGAATGGTCTCGCGCAAGTCGTCGAGGTCGCCCTTCCACAGCCGCGCCAACTCTTTAGCATCTGCTTCCTCGAACCACCGCGAAGTCCCCACCGCGATTGCGATTTCCCGCGTGGCCTTATCTTTGCCGTGAGCCAAAACGGCTTGAAGAGCGGCGTGCGAACGGCGGCGCGCCAGGCGCAGGTCCATGTGCATCCGGAATAGCTCGCCCCCTAGCTCGGCGATCTGACCAGCCCTGAAAATACCGACGACCTCGCTGCACAAAACATCTAGGCCCGCGGTTCCACTCGCCAGCTCCAAGTCCGCCGCGCGGGCGCACCGACGCAGGTAGGACCAGTTCGTACAACCCTGCAAGTAAGCCTTGTCCTCGCATCGCTGTAATAACTCCAGAATGGCAGGTGTCACGCAAGGGCGCGGGCCCCCTACGGGATTCGGCGTTGCCGGCTCGCCCTCTCTCGCGAGCAATGCCCGCGTTGCGTCGGGTGCCGGGCAATGCCTGCGTGGACCAGTCCTTCACCTTCAACACTTCGGCCGGGCATTCAGTCTCGCCGTTGCATTGCCACGGCGCGGCGCCAACGTGGAGCTCCGTTGACAATTCGCGGGAGATGCGCTTCATCTCCCCCCGCGGAAGCACGCGAGGAAAAATATCAAACCATCGCTTGGTGAACAAGACACATGGATGTCGAATGAACGCCTGCGCCTGCGCAATTCCCTCCTCGCGCGCCGCTTTTCCGTCGGTCGCTCTCCACGTCTCGAACGCCCCGTGGCTCAACGTGGCAGCGCTCAGCAGAATGGGGCGCGCAACCTTTGGCAGGGGGGCCTGCGGGGGGCGCCTCGCTGGAACTGAAATGCCCTGGAAGTCAAACCGCGAAGGCGCGCTGAAGCGCGCCTGAGCAGCTGCGAACGCCCCATGCAGCAATTGAGAAGACGCGGAAGCTTTCGGCGCATGGTGCACGAAGTCGAAATCCAAGTGCCCCGTGTCTTGGAACACCAGAAAACCATACCACTCATTCGGACACTCGCGCTCCAAAGCGTCGATCCGAGTCTTCGGACAATCGCCGCCCTTGCAGGGCGCCTGGCCGCCCCCCCCCCCCCCCAGCGTTGCAACCAAAGCTCGCCCGGCATATATTTGCGGCGCCTGTAATCGCCCGCCCCGAAAGCAAGCGGAGCCCCTCCCCTCTGCCAGGAGATTGGGCGTTGGCCGTTGGCCCCCACGTGGATGTCCAGGTTCTCTTTCAAACCCTGGGCGAGCCCCTCGCGCCCTTCGTTGGCCGCGCGAAGAGGCGGCCCGACCAAGCACCCCTCCTCGTTCAGAACGGATAAGACGGCGGTCTTGGGCGCAGCAGGCCGGGAATCCCCGACGCGCTTCGCGGCCTCGCGACGCCCGTCGAACTTGTGCGCCCGCGTTCTCTTGGCCGCGCACTTGCGTAGCTCCAATACTTGCGGCGCCACCCGTAGCGAGCGGAAATCGCGCGCCAGGCCCCGCAGCGTCGCCGAGGCAGGGACAAAAGGACAACCTGCATTGCAATGCTAGCGCGCCGTGGTTTTTCAGGCGCGCGCTGCCCATTGCACCCCCTTGCAATCTGCTCGCGCGCGCCGCGCGGACCGACTCCTAGCTGCGAGTCTGCCGCAAACTCTGACACAACGTAGCATTGAATGGAACGGCGTGCCAGACCGTTATACGACCGCCACCGCGTCCGCGAAATTTCCTTGCACCGGAGTTCGCCTGGGCAACGGCGCGGGCAGGGAATGCCCCAGTGGCCGCGAAGTGGCGTCTGACGTCCTCGTCACTGCAATGCTTTTCTTACCGCGCCCCAGGCGTCGGACGTCTCGCCTAAGAACCAGATGGACACGGGTGACATCGAGAACAGCAGTAGGCCCGCACCGTCCAAGTGACATCGGCGCAAGGCGCGCGCTGCCGCAAATGCACGCAGGAGGAATCACCAGCGGCACTTCTAGCCCCGCCCATTTGACGCAGCTAGCCGACCTGTCCAGCACAGGCGCGGAAGGCGCTGCTCCGGCCCCGCCCCGCTCAGCGCCAGGCGCGCATCGCCTCGCATTGCGAATCGCAAGTTGGTCTCGATGTCCAAGCAATCCTGCTCCGAAATGGTTGTTGATCACTTTGGCGGCGCCCCCCTTTGACCACCGCAGGCATCTTCGTGGCGCGCTTGGAGCGAGGCAGTCTGGCGAGCAAGGGGTTCGACATCTGATGGCCGGCACATTCTCTGGCGTTCACCCTGCCCAGGCGCGGTGGCAGCCGCAGCGCCTTCATCGAAGCACCGCCAGTCACGTGCCTGCCCTGCCGCTCTGGCAAAGCAGACTCCTTGGCAGCGGCCATCCTCTTGCGCCCCTTCCGGCGCGCTGGCGGCTGAGGGTCCATGGGTATAGGCATCGAGGGTTCGCATGTCTGCGCAGCCTCGCCGCGGGCCCAATCCCCCCCATGCACCAAGCGCCCCAACTCTTTCACGCCAGTAACCCTGAAAAGGCGACACCACGCATGCAAGGGCGAGAACACTCCGGTTCGTTGGGCGCCGCGAAATGAGAACCGTCTCCTTTGAGCCAACAGGTTTACAGCATTGCGAATGACTCGCTAGTGCAATTGTGCGTTAAAGCCGAAGACCTCGCGGAACCCCACATTAAGTTACATTCGCCAAACAGTGTTTGCCTTCAGTGAAGTCCTACTTGTGCTGCTAAGAATTTGGATGGATCCTGCAAGGTTCCGCCACGTTCTGGGCGCAAACTATGGCACAATCTTTTCGACGAGTGCGGCAATGTTCCGCCGCGTTCCAGGCGCAACCTTTGGCGAAACCTATGGCGCATCCTCTTCGACGGGTCCAACGACATTCCGCCGCGTTCTGGGCGACGTTCCGGGCGCAACCTATACCGCAAACTATGGCACCACTTGGATTGCGCTTTTTATATGACACATCCGGACTGCAGTAACTCACCGTTCGAGGTCCACGCTGGTAAATATGACTTGTCCATGTGATGGCAAACCGCTCCACAGCATCGTCGCGACATACTGTCTTCATAGTAATTTCGCGCCGCGAGAGGTGGGAGCGCGCCACCGCTGCATGACGCAACTTCGCATAGCACGACATTCCAATCACCATTGTAATTTCGGCAGCCCTCCGGGAAAAGGTCGCGCAGTTGTACTTGTCATCCTTCTTCCAAAAACCTTGCCCCCCCTCTTCGTGGATGGGAGCATGGCTCCTCCCCTATCTTTTCCCCCCTCCTCCGCCTCTTGCCCCCTGCATCCTCCTCCCCCTTCCCCCTTCTTGCTCAGACCCCTTCCTCCTTTTCGTCCCCGCCCTCACCCAGCAGGGCCGGCAAGGCCGGCAGGGCCGGCGGGGCCGGCAGGGCCGGCAGGGCCCGCAAAGCCGGCAGGACCGGCAAGGCCGGCAGGGCCGGCATCGCCGGCACGGCCGGCAGGGCCGGCGGGGCCGGCAGGGCCGGCAAGGCCGGCAGGGCCGGCACGGCCAGTAATTAAGGCTGGCCACGGCAGGGCCGGCACGGCCAGCAAGGCCGGCAGGGCCGGCAGGGCCAGCAGGGCCGGCGGGGCCGGCGGGGCCGGCAGGGCCGGCAGGGCCGGCAGGGCCGGCAGGGCCGGCAGGGCCGGCAGGGCCGGCAGGGCCGGCAGGGCCGGCAGGGCTGGCAGGTCGCATTTTCAGTCTTTGTCGCCCATGTCCCGTCGTAGTCGCCGCTGCTCCGCGTCGCGATGGGTGGGCGATGGCGATAAAGATGGCGCGCCAGCCCAACGCGACCGCTGACTGTGACCGACCTGCTGCCACAAACCATCGAACAACAAATTCGACAAAATAGTTGCCGCCGCTGCCGCTGTCGGCCGCGGCGCTGCCGACGCTGGCGCGGGCTGCCCGCCGACCCAGGGATCGGCGCCCCGCGCCGGGCGGCTCGCGCCCGAGCCCGCAGACGCAGTCTGCCCGAGGCTGACGGGGCCCCAAATCATCCAAACCACGCGCGTGCTCGTCAAGCGCCGCTGCTCAGCTAGGCTCGGCGGCCCCTGCTGCCCCTGGGCCGACAGCGGCGCGGGCGCGTCGGCGTTGAGGAAAAGAGTGCGCCGAGCGCCCTTGGCGACGGCGCTGGGGGCCATCGCGCACGAGGTGTTTCTCTGAGCAACACTCGCGGCATTTGAATTGCACCCTGTCGGGGCCCGCAGGGTTGCCTCGAAGGCCCGGCGCCCGCGCCAGTTGCCCTGAATCTTCCCTTCCACATCCCCCTGCCCTCCCCCGTAGCGCGCGACTGTCTCTCGGAAGTCATTCTCGGACAGGTCGGCCAGGAAGGCTCGGCAGCCCGCGCCGTGGCCCCTTGTCAATGAGCTCGCGTTTGCGGAACCGTCGCCATCGCGGATTGGCGCGCTTGCAACCCCAGAACAGGTGACCGCCACACTGTTCCACGGCAACATCGCGTAGCTCGTGGTCGTCGACGGCTATGTCTCCTTCGCCGAATGAACCGGCGGCGTCGGGGTCGGCGCCCGAGTCGACAAGATCTGCCGGGGGTGCCACCTGCGCCGGCGGCGCAGGCGGGCTCGGCGCTGCCCCCAGCGCTGATGGACCCAAGCCGCCCCGCCCCCATCCGACTGCAAGGTCGTAGACACACTGAGCCAGATATTGCGCGGGCGCACGCGCAAGGAGAGCTTGCCGTTGGAGTTGCACCGTTGAGAGAGCGCGTTTCACTGGCGCTGGCCTGAGGAGCATTCGGCGGCGCGCTGTTTCGAACCAGGGGGGGCCCCCACCAAGGGCCCCCCCCCCGTAGAAAAAAATAAACGCCCCAGGGGTCCGTTCCCGTTCCCGTTCCTGTTCCCGTTCCCGTTCCCGCTCTTTTTCCCGTTTTCTCGTCCTCTCAGTCTGTCGTCCTCTCTCTCCCTCTCTCTCTCTCTCTCGTCCTCTCTCTCTCGTCCTCTCTGTCTCTCTCTCTCTCTCTCTCTCTCTCTTTCTCTCTCTCTCTCTCTGTCTCTCTCTCTTCTCTCTCTCTCTCTCTCTCTTTTTTTCTCTCTCTCTCTCTCTCTCTCTCTATAGTGGTAGTAGAACTAGTGGTAGTGGTAGTGGTAGTGGTAGTAGTCGTAGTAGTAGTAATAATAGTAGTAGTAGTAGTAGTAGTAGTAGTACTGGAAGTAGTACCAGTAGTCGTAGTAGTAGTAGTAGTAGTAGTAGTAGTAGTAATAGTAGTAGTAGTAGTAGTAGTAGCAGTAGCAGTAGCAGTAGTAGTAGTAGTAGTAGTAGTAGTAGTGGTAATAGTAGTAGTAGTAGTAGTAGTAGTGGTAGTGATAGTAGTGGTGGTAGTAATAGTAATAATACTAGTAGTAGTAGTAGTAGTAGTAGTAGTAGTAGTAGTAGTAGTAGTAGTAGTAGTACTACTAGTAGTAATAGTGGTAGTCGTAGTCGTAGTAGTAGTGGTAGTAGTACTAGTGGTAGTGGTAGTGGTAGTGGTCGTGGTAGTAGTAGTAGTAGTAGTAATAGTAGTAGTAGTAGTAGTAGTAGTAGTAGTAGTAGTAGTCGTAGTAGTAGTAGTAGTAGTAGTAGTAATAGTAGTAGTACTATTAGTAGTAGTAGTAGTAGTAGTAGTAGTAGTAGTAGTAGTAGTAGTAATAATAATAATAATAATAGTACTAACAATAATAATAATAATAATAATAATAATAATAATAATAATAATAATAATAATCGTAGTAATAATAGTAGCAGTAGGCCTCCGGGAGGCCTCCTGGGTCGTCTGGGAAGCCTCTGGGAGGCCTCGTGGGTCGTCTGGGAGGCCCTGGGAGGCCGTGGGAAGCTTGCCGTTTCTGTT